CACACAAATTTCAAAAGATGCCAATTTCCAAATAGGATCCAGAATAAACAAGAAAAACATTCCTGGCACTAAAATAACATTTCCTCTGTTCATTAATCACATCCCAAGGCCTCTCTTATATTTCTTTGGCTTTCCACTTTCAATTTTTATTCTTACAAAAAATAGAAGATTTACTGTTATGCAGACTGCTGCATTAGTGTAGAAATGGTATAAATAATATCAGCACACTTGTGAAAGAATATTAGACTCACCAGTTGACGTGTATTGGACGCTTGGCATGATTTGTTTACTTTTGAACTTTGGTAAAAATCGAACATTTCTGCTACTTTGAGCTTAATTTCAAGGTACTTTTCATTGTAAAACCAGTCAAAATCATCTCAATTTCTGTAATGTGTCTTCCATTCTATAAAATGAGACCAAGAAAACTAGAATACAACAATAAATATCATACGAAAGTACAGTGCAAAGTCGCTGTTTTATTCCAAAAACATGGTCAAAGTTTTTTTTTTCTCATTATGCACTGTGTGCTGCAGGATTTTTTTTATACTGTGCACACTGACCACATAGACCCGTTCTTTCATATGTATGCCTACCAGCTTTCTCCCACTAGATTTGAGGGCACTAGAATTTAGGCGTACTCTCAGTAGTACCAGTTACCAAGTAACCAGTTACCAGTAGATGACTCACTACCAACCGTCTGTGTGAATCACTGACTGTTATTCATGTTGCTGCTGACCATAGTATATTTTGAATGCCTTACCCGCTAGGCACTGGTGAGTCAGTCTAAGATAGGGAGCAGAGAGAGGCAGGTCAGCTGTTGGCGCTTCCCATACTTCCCGTTATATATTATACGTACAAACCAGCCTATATGAGTATTTTTACCCCATCCATCCACGTAATCGAACCCACATGACAAATTGGTGGCAGCGGTGGGATTGAACTCTTGGATAGTCAAGGTCCATCTGGCTAACCTTCCAGTAGGTTGTTTGTTCTGGAATAAAGGTATCAGTGGAGCATGATCTGTCAAGACATGAACAGAGTACTGATAAATAATGTCTCGGAAGTGCTTCAAAGACCATGCTATTGCTAAAGCTTCTTGCTCAGTTACTGTATAATTACGTTCAGCCTTCGTAAGGACTCGGCTAGCAAATGCAACTGCGTTGTACTTGCCAATAGAACTAGCATCAGTTGTCAGATAGAAGGGCTTAGAAAAATCTGGAAATTTCAAAATTGGAACAGATGTTAGCTTTTCTTTTAGAGTTTGAATGCTCTTTCTTGACGGAAGGTCCAAACAAAAGGAGCATCTTTCTTAAGCAACTCAGTTAGAGGAGCAGCTATGGAAGAACAATTGGCAATGAATGATCTATAAAAACCTGCTAAGCCCACAAAGGATCTTACGGCATCAGCAGTTTTGGGAGTTAGAAAATTTAGTACTGCAGTTACTTTACTTTGGTCAGTCGTAACCCCTCTAGGAGTGACTATGTGACCAAGAAACTTAATTTCTGATCTGAAAAATTGACATTTAGACAGTTTGATCTTTAAATTGGCTTCTTCAAGCTTACCAAGTACTACATCAAGTCTTTTCAAGTGTGTATCCACGTCTTTAGACATGACGATTACGTCATCTAAGTACACCATAAGTGCATTACCTATGAGACCTCTAAAGATATTAGTCATGAGCCTTGAGAACGTGATGGGGAGGATCGTAATCCAAACACCATACGGAGGAAGTGATAATGACCTGTAGGAGTGGAGAATGCAGTTAGCTCTTGGCTGTCCTCGTGAAGAGGGACTTGCCAAAACCCTTGTAACAAGTCCAGGGTTGAAAAGACTTTGTTATCTCCAATGTTACGTAAAAGATCACCCAGTACAGGAAGTGGGAAGCAATCTGGAATAGTTTTCGCATTTAACTTCCTAAAGTCAATCACTGGGCGCCAAGTACCATCCTTCTTAGGTACTAGGATCAAGGGCACATTCCAAGGTGAATTGCTAGGTGCAATAACTCCATCATCAAGCATTTGATTGATCAATTCTTCTGCAACAGCAACTTGTGAATGAAGCATTCTGTACGCAGGTATATAGATAGGTCTAGTACCAGGTTCAAGTGGAATACGATGGGACAATAAGTTCGTTATACCCATCTTCTCACCTGGTAAGGCAATGGCTTTACGACGTTTGTTCAACAGTCAACAAACGCTTGACCTCGTCTGGGAAGTCAGAGTTGCTGAGCTCTCAGTAGTACCAGTTACCAGTAACCAGTTACCAGTAGATGACTCACTACCAACCATCTGTGTGAATCACTAACTGTTATTCATGTTGCTGCTGACCATAGCATATTTTGAATGCCTTACCTGCTAGGCACTGGTGAGTCAGTCTAAGACAGGGAGCAGAGAGAGGCAGGTCGGCTGTTGGCGCTTCCCATACTTCCCATTATATATTATACGTACAAACCAGCCTACGTGAGTATTTTTACCCCATCCATGTAATCGAACCCACATGACAGTACTAGTACGTCAAAAGCCCTGGGTCGTAAGCCGTACTAGTACGGCCGAAACCCTCAAAGGGTTAAAGAGCCATTAGCCTTAACTGCATTAATATTTCTAGACTGAAGCTAAGAAAACATGATGTCAACGTGAGGCAATTGGGTGTGTGCTGCATCGAATGCAGCTCCTCGCTGCCAGATGCAACGCCAGTAATGCCTATACTATCGTACTGCATCAAACTCCTATTTTTAATAATTTCTTTTTCTCATTTCAAAAAAAAAAAAAAAAAATCGCTTGTAAATACAGTGGACCCCCAACATTCGATATTAATCCGTTCCTGAGAGCCATTGAATGTCGAAAATATCGAAAGTTGAATTAATTTTCCCCATAAGAAATAATGGAAATCAAATTAATCCGTGCTAGACACCCAAAATTATGAAAAAAAAAATTTTACCACATGAAATATTAAGTTTAATGCAATAGAATAATTACAATAACAATAGATTAATGACAATAGAATAATTGACACTTACCTTTAATGAAGATCTGGTGATGATTGATGGGATGGGAGGAGGGGAGAGTGTGGATGGTGTTAGTGTTTAGAAGGGGAAACCCCTTCCATTAGGACTTGAACTGGCAGCCTCACCATGCCTTACCACACTGTGTATGCCACTACGATTCTTAAATCTTTCAAATCAACCTTTGCTGGCCTTAAATTAACTCACATTACCACAAGTTGCAGGCAATTTCTTTACCAAATCATCATGCACTCCGACACACGCACTCCACTTTCGTACTTTGCAATTATCTCTTTCTTCATTTCAATAGTCATTAGCACCTTCTTTCTTGAAGGGTTGCCACTAGAAACTTTCTTGGGGCCCATGGTGACTTATTTTGCAGAAACAAGCACCAAAAACAGTGATAATATGGAATGTACTGAATGTATCCTTAGATGCGCGCACACTGGCTGGCTTGTAAACACTGGCACACACGGGGCAGTTCAGGCCACACGTGGACACGTCTCGTATGAATTGTATCGAATGTTGGGTTTTCCATCAAATGCCAAGGCGAAATTTTTGCGTTAAAATGCATCGAATGTCGGATTTATCGAATGTCGGGGGTCCACTGTACATTGAAAACAACATACAACTGATTTTTCCTGTAATATATTTGTCAGTTGAAAATTATTTTAACCTAAGTTTAATGAAGTCATACATCTAGCAGTGAGCATCTGGGGGAACTGCAGCTCTGCAGCTCCTATGGACAAGCCACCACTGGGAGGGAGTATGGAAGATTGTTCGTATATTTGGGAGTAGATTTGTCAGCAGATGTAAGTAATAAGTTTTTTCAGGTATACACAAATACAGTTACACAGATTATCAAATATAGCAGTATATGTGTAGAGAACCTAGGATAACCTAAAAAAGTCAGACAAAGTGACTTATTTCTACTTGGGTCCATTTAATACTTTATTATTATACTATAAAGGAGATAATATCTTATTATTATACTGTAAAGGAGATATACTAGGAATAATGTAAAATGAGTTATTTATATTTACATGTGTTAGCTAAAAAAAAAAAATAAAAAATCATTCTCCTCCCTTACTGTCACTACATTCATCTGGTACCTTTTGGCTCTCTTCTTGAACTGACTCATGCCATTGCATTGAGGTGTTTGTGGAGGCAAAAAACGTTATCCATGGAGGCAAAGAAGGGAATGTACAAGAATATAATGGTACCAACATTCTTATATGGGTGTGAAGCATGGGTTGTGAATGCTGCAGCGAGGAGGAGGCTGGAGGCAGTAGAGATGTTGTGTGTGAGGGCAATGTGTGGCATAAATATTATGCAGAGAATTCGTAGTGCGGAAACTAGGAGGTGTGGAGTTATAAAAAGTATTATTCAGAGGACTGAAAAGGGGTTATTGAGGTGGTTTGGTCATTTAGAGAGGATGGATCAAAACAGAATGACTTGGAGGGTGTATAAATCTGTAATGGAGGGGAGAAGGGGTAGGGGTCATCCTAGGAAAAGATGGAGGGAGGGTAAAAGAGGTTTTGTGTGCAAGGGACCTGGATATGCAGCAGGCATGTATGAGTGTATTAGATAGGAGTGAATGGAGACAAATGGTTTTTGGGACCTGACGAGCTGTTGGAGTGTAAGCAGGGTAATATTTTGTGAAGGGATTCAGGGAAACTGGTTAGCTGAACTTGAGTCTTGGAGGTGGGAAGTGCAATGCCTGCACTTTAAAGGAGGGGTTTGGGATATTGGCTGTTTGGAGTGACATCTATACTGTCATATCTGGGCACCTCTGCAAAGACAGTGATTGCGTGTGAATGATGGTGAAAGCGTTGAATGACGGTGAAGGTGTTTCTTTCTTTTTTGGGTCACCCTGCTTCAGTGGAAGATGGCCGGTGTGTTGGAAAAAAAAAAAAAGTATATTTAACACATTTAACAATTATGCATGCTTAAACATGATTAGAAAATACATACATATGCAGCTGTACTCTAGACCTACCTTTAGTCTAACATTTGATAATACATGAAGAAATGTTGTACGATGATTATTCCACTTGAGTGATAAAATTTCCTCGGTCATTGCTGGCTATTCTACAGGAGAAAGAAGCATAGTAAGGTATGAGTTATTGTACCTACATATAAAGCTAATTTAATACATTATTATCTTCACATCCTTACAGTGATAAGTTTACATTTTTACCATCTTAAATTCACAACACTGCACCAAATGTATATTAAAGAACACTGAAACATGCTAATATAAGCTTAAGTTGCTCCCTACTAAGTTCTTGACAGTGGTTGAAGAGTTTGTAGCTACAGTATATAAAACTGACTGTTTCTCACTGTCAATGTATCCTAGACAGTGAGACAGTCAGTTTAAATACAGCTACAAATTCTTTTGCTACTGTCAGGGATTTCATAAGAAGCAAACAAACTGACAACACAATCACCAGTGTCGGAGTTTATGTTATACCCTGTGGAAGGTGTGAAAAGAAGTATGTGGGCAAAACGGCAAGATCTCTGGAAGTAAGAGTATGTGAACAGTGAAATGCCTGCAACTACAATGATCAAAATAATGCCTGTGTCCGGCACAGGAGCAAGCAGGGCTAGCTCATGAAATTTAGAGAAGCCAAGTTAGGAGGAGGTGCGGGATTACCAAAACTGTTGTCCAGAGGGCTGAGGAAGGGTTGTTGAGGTGGTTCGGACATGTAGAGAGAATGGAGCGAAACAGAATGACTTCAAGAGTGTATCAGTCTGTAGTGGAAGGAAGGCGGGGTAGGGGCCGGCCTAGGAAAGGTTGGAGGGAGGGGGCAAAGGAGGTTTTGTGTGCGAGGGGCTTGGACTTCTAGCAGGCATGCGTGAGCGTGTTTGATAGGAGTGAATGGAGACAAATGGTTTTTAATACTTGACGTGCTGTTGGAGTGTGAGCAAAGTAAAATTTATGAAGGGATTCAGGGAAACCGGCAGGCCGGACTCGAGTCCTGGAGATGGGAAGTACAGTGCCTGCGCTCTGAAGGAGGGGTGTTAATGTTGCAGTTTAAAAACTGTAGTGTAAAGCACCCTTCAGGCAAGACAGTGATGGAGTGAATGATGGTGAAAGTTTTTCTTTTTCGGGCCACCCTGCCTTGGTGGGAATTGGCCAGTGTGTTAATAAAATAATAATAATAAGTTAATTGTAAATGAAAATGGCCTATACTGTCAAATGTGTTAAGAGGTCACCTTGATAGCAGTCACTTGCAATTTCTCACAGAAATCTGGCAGTTATAGTATTTCCTAGTCTTTGCAAACTAACTACTACCCAATCTGGATATGACCATAACCAGCAATATTAAGCCTGCTGCATCCTTGGGTAGGGATAGGACCTGCCTAGAATTAAATGACACTAGCTGCACCAACGAGCACTGCAGAAGGGCTACTGGCCTCACATATTTGTATGACCTATTTTTAAAGATCACCCAATGTTACCACTACTATGATATATTAAGAAGAACACGAGATAATTCTACTTTACCTTTACAAATGAACAAAACATTAATCTTCAACACTCATATCAACAAACAAAACATTTAAATATAAATAACACAAGTGAACCCTCAATTATCGTCCATAATCTGTTCCTAGAAGTGGGACTATTATCGAAATAGACGATTTTCGAATCAATTTTCCCCATGAGAAATAATGTAAATAGAATTAATCCGTTCTTGACACCCAGAAGTATTAAAACAAAAAAATTTTTTACGTGAAATATAGATGTAGTACATAAACAATACAATGGGACATGATGAATAAAACATTAACAGCATAACACTTACCTTTATTGGTGATTCTTCTTAGTGTATGGAAGACTGGAGGAGGAGAGAGATTGAATTACTGTCTGGAAGGAAAATCCCCTTCCATCAACACCTCAGGTACCAAGTGCTTTTCTGGGGTTACTTCTCTTCTCTGTTTCTTCATGCCACTAGGGCCAGCTTGAGAGTCACTGGAGTCCTGTCTCGCAAAAAACCTGTCCATAGAGCTCTGTTTCTGGCGTCTCTTTAAAACTTCCCTAAAATGGGCCAAGACTCTGTCACTGTACAAGTTGCCAATATGACTTGCAACATCCTTCTCAGGGTGATGTTTCTCCATAAATCTTTCCATCTTATCCCACATTTCAAAAATCTCCTTAATTTCTGAAGGCACCTTCTTCCATCTCTCTTCCTCCTCCTCTGCAGCAAGATTCCGAGCTGCAATCTGTTGCTCCTCCTGCTGAAGCTCTTGCAGCTCCTCAGTGGTTAGCTCTTCGTTGTGGTCCTCCACCAACTCTTCCGCATCCTCCAAACTCACATCCAACCCCATGGAACTCCCCAGTGCCACAATAGAGTTCACAACTGACATAGGCTCATCAGGGGCTGCCTCAAACCCTTCAAAATCCCTCTTGTGGACACAATCTGGCCACAATTTTCTCCAAGCAGAGTTCAAAGTCCTGGTAGTCACTCCCTCCCAAGCCTTACCTATAAGGCTTATGCAATGGAGAATACTGAAGTGTTCTTTCAAAAAATCTCTTAGGGTCAAGTGAGTGTCTGAGGTCACATTAAAGCACCTTTCAAACATTGCTTTGGTGCAGAGTTTTTTAAAGTTTGAAATGACCTGCTGGTCCATGGGCTGGAGGAGAGGAGTAGTATTCGGGGGCAAGAACTTTACTGTGATGAACCCAAACTCCTTCAGAATTAGGTCATCCAAGTTTGGAGGATGAGCAGGTGCATTGTCCATTACTAGGAGGCACTTGAGATCCAATTTCTTTTCCAGGAGGTAATTCACACTAGGGCCAAACACTTCATTGAACCACTCGATGAAAATGTCCCTCTTGACCCATGCCTTACTATTAGATCTCCAAAACACACACAATTTACTCTTCATAACATTGTTTTTCTTGAACACTCTGGGATTTTCAGAATGGTACACTAGTAAAGGCTTCACTCTGAAATCCCCACTAGCATTAGCACAGAACGTGAGTGTCAGCCTGTCTTTCATAGGCTTGTGTCCTGGCAGTGCCTTTTCTTCCTGAGTAATGTAGGTCCTCTTTGGCATTTTCTTCCAAAAGAGGCCTGTTTCGTCACAACTGAACACTTGTTCAGGTTTCAGTCTTTCAGCCTCTATGTACTCCTTGAATTCCTGCACATATTTTTCAGCCGCTTTTTGGTCCGAACTGGCAGCCTCACCATGCCTTATCACACTGTGTATGCCAGTATGCTTCTTAAATCTCTCAAACCAGCCTTTGCTGGCCTTAAATTCACTCACATCAGCATTAGTTGCAGGCAATTTCTTTACCAAATCGTCATGCAACTGCCTAGCCTTTTTACAAATGAGCAACGTCATAAGACTATCTCCTGCTAATTGTTTTTCGTTTATCCACACCAATAATAACTTCTCAACAGCTTCGAGTACTGGTGATCTCATTTTTGTCAGTATATTTACCTCCTTTTTCTTGGCTATGATGGAAGATATGGTTGTACGGGATTTGTACGCCACTTTCATATTGTTCAATGATGTTTTTCTTAAATTCAATCGTATTTCTCACCTTCTTTACCAAAGGCTTGGGACTAGGAGCTTTCTTTGGAGCCATGGTAGCTTATTTAGCACTTGCAAGCACTAAAATGAATGGAATATTATGAAATATTTCGTATGAACACGTGAGGGGACCATCGCTCACTGGTAAACAATGGCACACTGGCTGGGAAGGGAGGACAACGTGGCTCAGAGCCGTGAGTACACGTCCAGGACAAAAGACGATTAGCAAGTTAACAGACCATTTGCGAGCCAATGTTTAGATGAAATAACGGGACTATTTCTGAAATGGACGACTTTCAGGCTGGACGATTATTGAGGGACAACTGTATATTCTAAAATGCACAACTACATATCCACCTCTTAATAACCTTAGACTGTACTACTTGCTTATCAATGCATTTTACCCATAAGGGTCTCTACTGGGGATCAGAAATGTGAAACTATAATATAAAGCAAACTCTCAAATCTACAGTGCTAAAAATACATTTCCTTCATTGTACACTGTCTGTCTACAGAAAATATGTATTTTTACCCAAGTCATAATGATATTGCATTTCTAGACAATTGCAATAATTCACATGGACACAACACGTTAATTATATCTAACATACCTAATATATGAAGCAATTTATGCAGGTACTCAGGGCAAAAACAGGAGCCCAAAAAACAAAACAGCATCCCAGAAGCAGTAAAAGCTCATACAACGTTCATCGCTTTACTTTCAAAGACAGGGTGCCTAGGCTTTATATATCCAGCATGAGTTTATAAAATATTTTAACCATAACTAATTCATTCCCTTCATAAGTTTCTACCACATTATTAGTATTATTATTATTATTATAATAAGGGGGAAGCACTAAGCCTGTAGGGTTCAATCATGAATGAGAGAACCAAGTTTGATCCCAGGAAGGGGAAGGTATATCCAGGTCATTGGATCAAACACTATTCATCATCATCATCACTCTTCCTCCTGAAGGGAATCTCAACTGTATGGATACAGTAATGCAGTAAGAGAGAAAAGGACACAAGTTCATTCTCTTAGGGCAAATTTATCAAAAACATTTTGGTCCTGGGACCTTGATCACTTCAAAGACATGAGGTCCATTACTGAAATGTCTTCAGTAACAGCATCCTGAATAAACAAACTTGTGTCTTTTTTCCTGTAAAATATTGTCATTTACTGCCTTCTTACTACCAATGTGAAAATTAGGAAATTTTTATATGGATACATTTTGCTCACCAGGAGCTTTATTAATCCATATACTTACCTAAATATCTACATAACTAATTACTGCTATTTATTTTCATACAGTATTCAATGTTACACAACAACATCCAGCAACCTACTAAAAACATCTATTTCTATGAAAACTGATGTTTACGTCAATGAGTGCCTTACCAAAACAAGACAAAACCTTCTTTATCGGCTAAGAAAATTACGCTATGCCCAAAAAATCCACCAGTGCTTTGTGAGGGATGGAAAAATCGCAGTTAGGAAACAGCCCACTGGGAAGAGATACTTCATCTCTACAGAACATGACCTT